GCATGGGGAGGGGGGCAACTAAATGGAGTTGAGTGTTTACTGGCCGGATGCCCTTCCTGTCACGAATGAAGAGTTTGTAGCAGATATTTACTCATAAATATCAGCCGCTACTTAGGATCAAACTCACAGCTTCCTGATTGTGAGGCGAGAGCTCCATCTCTAGGCCACTGCACCACTCTATACCTTCACTACACGGGCTCGTAAAAATACAGCTGAGTTCATGAAGTATTAAGGAAGCATGGTGTGGGTAACACTCGCTTTCTGGCAGCAAAGGAATGGGCTTGGGTATGCACCGAACCGGCAGTAACACTGGCAGCAACCCATCCCTGCTGACACCACTTCAGACAAATGGTTATCTAACATCATCTTAAAAACGTCCAGTGTTGGAGCATTTACAACTTCTGGAGGCAAGTCCTTCCACTGATTAATTGTTCTCACTGTCGGGAAATTTCTTATTTCAAGGTTGGTTCTCTCCTTGATTAGTTTCCACCCATTGCTTCTTGCCCTCCCCTCAGGTGTTTTGGAGAATAGCTTGACTCCCTCTTCTCTGTAAGGATATGAATTCCTAGGAAACGGCTAATCTTATAATAAATACCCACAGTAGTGGATTACAATATCATGTTTATTCCTTTAAAACCCCAAAGGAAGCTCTATTGGGTTACTGTTCTTTCTTTATTTGAGGAAAAATCTTCCTTTTCTTCTCAATCTGCACTGGGATACACATTAGCTAAGGAAACGAGGAAAATCCTCCAAGGACATAAACAGCACACTATTAAGCATTTTTATTTGGAAGACTCACTGCAAATTGCATCAAGCAAATTGGTAGATTTATTGTAAATTTCATAAAGTTTTATAAATATTCTCAAGTGTAAAAAAAAAGCTGCAATCAGCCAATTAGAGAGCGGAAAAAGGCTGTTATGTTCCTTTGATACACAGAAAAAGAGAAGTATTTTGTAGCTGCAGTTTCTTTCATCATCTACCATTTAAATGACATTCCTGGAAAAAGACCCACAAGAAAAATCCTGTTGTTTTGAAATAAGCAAAATGACCTTGCACAGCCTATGAACTTTGAGTGATTAAAAGGCTGGTCAGCCACTCAGATTGTGCAACAAGATTTATATAAATATTGTGCTGGTGATTCTTGGAAGACACACGGTCATGTAGTTCTATCTTGCTAAGTGCTGCTTGGACACTCAGTTTCTCTCTATTCTTTTTGATCATGATGATGATGATGATGACCAACATACCCAAACCTAGTTAAATACACTAAACCCAAGATAGAAATATCCAGAATCGAGGATCTCATCAACCACTGCCTCACTACCTACTTTCAGTTTGATGGATAAATATTACCAACAAATCAGAGGCCTCACGCCAAAAGGCGTTATACATCCTCTAGAAAGCCTCTACTAAAAGTATGGATCTGGTATGTAGATATGCCATAATAAAAAAGGGAGAACTAGTAAAGACACATGAAACAATTGACATCTTCAAAGGGATAAAGTTCACAGTGGGAGAAGAACATTATTCAGAAAAATGTGCTGTAGCAACACAGAACACCAGAAAAAGTAAACAGGCTGTCTATACAACAGTGGTTCCCAACCTTTCTGGCTTGGTGGCCCAGCTGGGCAGGGGGAGGGAGGGAAACCAGGATGTGGGTTGGTGTGCATGCATGCACATGTGGGGGCACAGATCGGCTAACATGAGGGGCGGTCCGGCAAGCACGTGTACACACATGCCTGCAAGTTGAGCTATGCACACTTGTGCATGCACACCAACCCGCTGCTTGTGTGCGTTGAACCACACGAGCATGTGCACTGGACTGCTGCTCATATGGGATTGCAAATAGGCTGCGGTCTGATAGCTGTCGACAGCCTGGGGATTAGGGACTCCTGCTATATAATATCTCTCAACAAAAGGGATACCCATACAACTTGAACAAAAAGTACCTGACCCCTCAACCCACTATAGCACAAGCAACACAAGCTGTGAAAAATAGAACAGAACCATACATTTTATAAATAACTAACAGATTATTACAACCTCACAGCATCACCGTTGTAAATAAACTAACTAAAGCCCTCCAAAACAACCTAAACCAGAAGCTCCAGTAGTCCCCTCAAACCCTATATAATACCCCCAAAGACATTACAACATACCGTGTGACTGTAACAGCCATGATGTAGGACAACTGGGCCGAAGACTACAGAGTGCATCCATGAACAGCACCTAACATTTAGAAGTCACAATGAAAACCTCTTATTTTCACAATGCACAGACACCCATAATTTGAACTGGGAAACTGTGAGCCTCCTAGACCAAACTAGATCTAAAAATGCTAGAGAGTTTCTGGCATTTAGACAAATCACCTTTTAATAGATACACAGAGATAAAACTACATTTAAAGTCTATTCAAAAGAGGCAATTAAAAAGAATGAAACAAAAAGATCAGAACAATCCTGTCCAGAGTCCACACCCCAGGGGTGAGTTGCTGCCGGCATTACTGCCGGTTCGGAGCGTGCGCAAAAACTGTGCACATTCCACCTGTGTGCGCAGTTGCCCATAAATAGGTCTGTGCATGCTCAGAACATTAAAAAATGGGGAAAAAACATGATGCGCCAACCAGGGAACCAGTTTCGAGGTGTGGCAGGCCTGAGTTGCTGCTGGTTCTGGCGACCCAGGCTGGCAAACCACCACCGGTTTGGCTGAGCTGGTCCAAACCGGTAGGAACCCATCCCTGCTACACCCCGATAGGAAAGAATTAACATCAAACAAACAATCAAGAGAAAACAATACCCTAATCAAGGGACTCTCAGGGAGAAAACCCCACTCACTGTCAGGCCAAGTATATAAACAGCCGAGAAAACCCACCCTCACCAGGACTGATGATTTTATTTAATCATTAGGCAATGAACTGTCTGCAAGCGAACAAGCTCAGAGAAAACCAAGGATTCCACAGATAATTATCTTTCTCTACACAAACAATAAACTGAGTCAGTAACATGGAAGCATTTTAAAAAGAATATTAAAATAGGACCTATTTAGAGAATTTCAAGTGTTAAAGTAGCTGTAGTATTCCAGGAAGATATATGAAGAAATATCTGGTTCTAACATTATGCTCTTCCGACTGCCAGTCTCTGTTAATCATTACATTAAATGTGCATTTTATTGGTAAGATGATCATTCAAAAACTAGTACAGTGTAACTAACTGATAACAAACTGACAAATCCCACTCATCCAGTTCAGGTCCATTCAGAAATTTGAGCAAAAAGAGGGAGAAGGATAGAGGATCTGCTAAAATTTAGGCGTGAAAAAAGAAGCCCATTGCTGTGTTTTGCTTCAAAATTAGGCCCATATAATATTTGATATGTTGGCAAATACAAAGGTAGAACACGACAGTATACTTAACTACAAACCAGACTGGCCTAGGTAGATTTCAAAATAGCGAGATGACTCTTTTGTTTTCCCTGTGACTGCTTACATCACATACGTGTTTAAAAACTGGGTGGGGCAGGCTGCAGTTCGGCGACAATGAGAGCCTGGCATAGAAAGTAATATTACGATTGTCAGTTTTGGGTTGGGCTATTCCTTTCAAGCTCCTTTTGCAATGGAAGATTTGGCATCCAGATTATCGAGGGATGTACTGAGGTTCAGATCTTTTGTTAGAATCTGGGATCGGTAAGGGATCATCAATTAACTCACCATCGTGTTCCATAGCAAGGCAGAAACTGTCCTTGCCCAATGGATAAACTGTAATTTCCAACCTAGAAAAACCACAGGGACTGGAAACTTTTAGTTGTTGCTTTTTGGCAAACATAGACACTCTAGACATAGGTTTGTGAAAAAAGTGAGACATTCAAGAGAAAAATTGCATCAGAGAAGAAAATGGCAATTAAACTAGTTCTGAAGTTTCTTTCAAGTCTTCAGACAATTGGAACAAACATAAATGTAAAATCTCTATGCTTATGAGAAGGCAGAATCAAGAAGAACCTCCTGTCCTTATTTAGGTTCCCTGAAGCTGGCTGATCACCATTGTGCCTCCTTCAAAACAAGATGTTGCAGGCACTTGTATGCATGTAGCAGTGATGTGCAGTGAGGTTTATGGCTGGTGAAGCACTGACGTCATCACAATCAGATTTACAAACATTAAAATCCTACAAATTATCTTATCCAATATTTGATTGGCAGCAGTTAACAGGTTATGTTTAAAGTCTCATATCGCATTCTTTACACATACTCAACTTACAACTGTTCATTTAGTGATTATTCAAAGTTACACCACTGAAAAATGTGACTTAAGACCGTTTTTCACTTATGACCATTGCAGCATCCCCATGGTGACATGATCANTCAACCCTGAGCCGGTGAGATTTGAACCGCTGACCTGCTGATCTAGCAGTAGCCTGCAGTGCTGCATTTAACCACTGCGCCACCTTGGCTTTTGACAAAAATCAGGTCTGTTTTTGCAAAAAATGTGTCCAAAAGATTGCAACAATTTCTAACCTCTTGCTTTCAATGTTTATTCAAAGTGTACACTTTTTTAAAGTGTAAGTTTATACTCTTGAAACTTTAAATGGAACCAAATTGTTTGATAGTTGCATTGCAACATTCATTAGAATGTTCAATTAACTCTTTCAAGGAAGAACTTCTTCCATTATGAAAGATTACTGCTGCCAGGTCAGGAGTACCAAATGCATGAAATGTTTGAAAATAAGTCTAATTGTAATAATTAAATGAAATTAATAAAAATAGCAAATCTTATGCTTGTTCTCTGGACTGTTTCATGAGTTCCACAGTGTGTTATTGGATACTTGATCAACAGACAAATTGAACAAAAAAGAGCACCACAGTATGGAGTGTTTGTCTGAAGTTCCAGTTATTTTTGCAAAACCTGAGTTTTCTCAAACATTCTGGCAACAATTTTATCATCCCCAGAGAATGCTGTTTTGGCTGCTTAAAGCTCCAGTTCAAATATACAAGATAAAATATATTTTTTTACCGCTCTGCATTTTCCTTGGTCAGATTAACAGCAGCTTCTAATTTATCGATGGCAATGAGCTGACTCTAGGAACAAAAGAGACAAAGCATAATGAAAGAAAACATTTATCTGACAGTGTAGAATATCCTTGCTTTGGGGAAAAGCCATTTGAAGTCAGCAGTGTTAGATGCAATGTTTTGGAAATGAGCTTTTGTTAATCTATATCAGGGAAGAATATACTTTTAAAAGGCAAAGAAGCAAATTTTACTTAGTTATAGTTTTCCATGTGTTTTCTACAGTGGTGGGTTTCACATTTTGTTACCACCCGTTCACCTTGCATGCATGCAATTTACAAGAACAGGTGTCCCTTCCACGCATGCACCCAGCCTTCCGTGCATGCGCTTTGCTTATGCACGCGCCTTCCGCACATGCGCCCAGCCTCAAAAATGTGCCTAAATAGGATGGCATAGAGCCGGGGCGGGTGGGCAGGCCCACACATGATTTCCGTTACCAATTCGGATGAATCAGTTCGAACCAGTTGAACCACCTCTGGCTTTCTAGTAAAGTTGTGCAATGGTATAAACCATGCTTAAAAGAATAAACCTTGATTGTTGGGAACGTGCATGTGCTAGGCCATAATCCATAGTTTCCAAATTACCATAGGTTCATGCTAACCTGTTAAATAAGCAAATGACAGTAAAAATTATCAGGCTATAACAAACCACTTTCTGGTATGAACACAAATCTGTTTCTAAGAAGATAAGAGGAGCCATACTGGATTAGATTAAAGTAAAACTGATCCAGGATTCTGTTTACACAATCAGCAATCAAGCCCACAAGTTTTATATAAGCCAAGAGGCCTTCTCTACAGCAACCGTTGTTTAGGCCAAATTGCTCCTGATTTTGGAGGTAACACAAAGCCAGAATAATCAGTAAAAAAGGGGACTTCCCCTTTCTTGTTCATTTTTGCTCCAAGGAAAAAAGGACAAGGTTATTAATATTTATAGTTTGGTGTATGGGTTAAGGCACCAGGCTAGAATCTGGGAGACTTGTGAAGTCTACTCCTGCCTTGGGCACAAAATCAGTTGGGTGACCTTGGGTCAGTCACTTTCTCTCAACCATAGGAAGGAGACAATGGTAAAACACTTCTGAAAAATCTTGCTAAGAAAACTACAGGGATTTGTCTGGATAACCTATGAGAATCAGACACAATTAAATAGAAGGGGGAAAAATATCTGTTTAATGAAATATCACTTACTTGAGGAAGCTTTTTCAGAAGACTTAAACCAATTGCCCCTGAGCCACACCCAACTTCCAAAATAATAGGACCACGGGTCCCTGGGAAATCCTGAATGACCCTGCTGCATGCAGAAGTCAATTTCTTCCTGCGTTCTTCATCCAGAATGAGAGAAACCAGTTCCTAGAAAATACAAATATGTATTTATTTATTTATTAAAATTTACTAAATGCTGCCACAATCATAGATTCTGATGACTCACAATTATATAAAATCCACAGTCCATAACCAAGACCAAAACCTTAAGTATTACACCAATTCCACATAGGCTCCAAAGCTGAGAAAGATGGATAGTCTTTTTGCACTTCAGTGCCAAATGGCTGCACGAGACAGAAAGAAGACAGCAGTTGAAAGTTGTTGGGAAGTGGTGGAGAGACTAGAATTTAAAAAGAATAATCTCTGTGTTAAAAGGTAAGGGCACTGGTAGAAAAGTGGAAGATCGCTACAATCAAAATTTCATTTTAAAAGATTCTATGTAATACTGTAGTGCAGCATTTAGGTTTACTCAGAAGCAAGCTCTACACTTCTCTGACAAACACTTGTAGGATTGCTGCCTTTGTTAATAAAATCACTTTTACTTCATACAAATTTCTTCCTCCCTCCAACAGAATTTGAACTCATGGCTGATACTGGAAGAATAGACAGTAACCATGGTAAGAGGACCCTTTGCACACCTTTGAATTGTGTGCCCGTTGAGCATTCTTTGACCAATAGGCTCTGCTCACTGTCACTTGTGCCCTTGTGACCTCCTGTTTGGACTATTGCAACCTATTGCAAATGGGCCCCCTTAAGAGCATGCAGAGGTTTCAGCTGATGTTTAGGTCCTGTTGCTCCTGATTCTTGAAGTAACACAGAATCAGCTTCGCTACTAGCTATTTAATACCTGATTGTTAATGAACTTATCTAATACATTTTTGATCCCTTTCAAACTGACGATCATTGCTAATTTTCTGGAAGCAAACTCAATAATGTAATCATTTTAGGGTTGTAAATGCTATCAGCTGTTTGGCTAATGAAGCACCACTGCTTTGGGGGTTACGCTGGCCACCAATGTGCTTCTGGGTGCAATTTAAAGAGCTGACTGTCACCTGTAAAGTCCTTCAAGAATTACCCCAGGGTCTGCCTTCTCTCAGGTGTTTCTATCTGCCAGATCTGGTCCAGCAGGTTGGGTATGTTCTGGATCCCATTAACCATTGAAATGGGTTTGACTATACAAACTTTGGCTATACAAATTGAATAAACAAACAAATAAAAAATGCTTAGGTCTAGTAAAAGAAACAATTTCTCAATGTTTCTCTATATTTCTAAAACCTGAATCTAACCTTTGGGCACCAGCAAAATCCACAAAGAGCACAAATGTTTGTAGGTATGAAAACAATAAAATTGAAAAGGTTTTTCTTTAACTTTGACAACCACCTGTAGTTTCTAAACAATGAACTGCCATGAATATTTATAATGACATATTTTGTTCTTCTTATTTTTGCATTCGGTGCTGAATAGCTTGAAAAGCAAACTGCGTACTCATATACCTCGCATTCACAAACCCTTCCTCCTTCTCCTCCTTCTCCTCCTCCTCCTCCAGCTAGCAAGCAATGTAAAGCAGGTCATAGTGTAGTAGAGGCCACATAAACTTACAACGAAAACTTTCCCATCTCTCCCGGTTAGTCAAAGGGAGTAAATGCAATTGTGTGACACAATAAGTTGATTACTTATTGTGTCTGTGGGAATATTTCACACTTTGTAAAAGGTAATAAAATAAAGCAGCTGGCACCAATGAGTTCTTCAGAGTGCAATTAATTGCACCCTATTATGCTTAGTTAAGGGAGTGCCTATCACTCTCCCATCTCTGCCCTTTTGGACGCCCTGCTCCCCCCCCCATTGCCCTTCCTCTGTTGTCTATCTTCGTCATCTTCTTCCTCCCACTGCCAAAGTGCTTCTGGCTTGGCTCTTTTTTCCCCCCCAGTGTAAATATGTTTTATTTTCATTTCATTTCGTACAGTCACATATATACTGTGCATAACCGGGGCATATAACATTG